CCACTGGCCCCCCCACCCACCCACCCATTGACCCACTCATCCATCCACCCATTGAGCTATCCATCCATCTACCCACACACAAACCAGCCCACCCATCATCCATCCATCCACTGACTCACCCAAACATCCACCCTACCATCCATCCACAGATGCACCCAACCATTGATCCATTCATCCATCGACCCACCATTGACCCATCATCCATCCAACCACCCATCCATCCATCTACCCACACACAAATCTGCCCACCCATCATTCATCCATGTATTGACCCACACAAACATCCATCCATTGACCTAGCCATCAATCCACCCACCCATTGCCATCTGTCCATTGACCCAACCAACCATTGATCCATCCATCCACCCACCCATTGACCTATTCATTCATCCATTCACCCCTCCATCCATTAATTCATCCATTTCTACTTCCATCCATCCCAATACGCACCCCTCCATTCACGCATCCATCATTTTACTGCACGTTCATCTCTCCCTCCATCCATCCATCTTTTCCATTCCTCCCTCCATCTCTCTGTGCATCCCATCACTTTTCTACCCCTTCATTCTCTTCCTGATCCATCCATTCTTCTTTTCCTCTATACTTCCATTCCTCCACCCCTTGTCCCACCCCTCCACCTGCCCTCCCCTCCAGGGACAGAGGGTGTCCACTTCCCCCTCCAATGCTCTTTGTCTGTCCCTGCCCCCTTACCTGGGCAGGGTATTTTGGTGTTGCAGAAATGTGACCGGGTATTGAGGCCAAGACAGGCCTTACCACCATGCCGTGGAGCTGGGTTGTTACAAAGACGCTTCTGCGTTACCCGGCCCAGGCCACAGGTCACCGAGCAGGTGCTGGATGTCTCCCAGTTGTTCCAGCCACCGTCCACTAGGCAGGGCGCAGGGTCAGAGAGAAAGAAACACAGGTCAGCATGAGAAACCTCCCCCGAGGGTTGGGAGAATGCCCAGGGCGGGGACTGGCTGGCTTGGGGGGGTGGGGAACGGGGCAGGGGCCTGTCCCCTCTGGAGGGCGCCGGCTCCCATCTGGCCCCAGGGCAGGGGACTGGCTGGCTCGGGGAGAGGGGGGCAGGAGGGTCTTTCTCACCTGGGCAGAAGGGCAGCCCGGGGCACGACTGGTCCTCACTGGTGGGTCCAATGCAGGGGAGTCCGGGAGGGATGACGGAAGGCGGGGGGTTGTTGCAAACCCGCCAACGACGCTGCTGGGGCTTCAGCTTCACGTCCTCTGGAGAGCATGTGGCAGAACAAGGACCCCATTGCCCCCAACTGCCCCAGTTACCATGAGCTACAGAGAGGGAGAGATCAGGTGTCAGTATTGGGAGAAGCCATTCACCCCCACCTGCCCACCTATCCCCCATCCAGTGACCCAGCCATAGCCCACCCACCCATCCCCCCACAACCATCTACCCAACCATCCCTTTCCATCCATCTCCCCACCCAAGCACCCCCACCCATCCATCTCTGCTCCCCCATCCACCCATTCAACTACCCATCCCTTCCCACCCATCCCCCCATTCAACTACCCAACCATCCCTTCCCACCCATCCCCCCACAACCATCTTTTCCCACCCATCCCCCCATTCAACTACTCATCCCTTCCCACCCATCCCCCATACGACTACCCAACCATCCCTTCCCACCCCTCCCCCACAACCACTCTCTTCCCACCTATCCTCCCATTCACGCTACCCAACCATTCCTTCCCACCCATCCCCCCCACAACCATCCTCCTCCCACCCATCCCCCCATTCAACTACCCAACCATTCCTTCCCACCCATCCCCCCCACAACCATCCTCCTCCCACCCATCCCCCCATTCAACTACCCAACCATTCCTTCCCA